CATGCCACCACACTCTCAACAACCTTTGCCAAGAAGGGAAGGTTGGAAACGGGGCGGTAGTTGGCCAATATCGCCGGGTCCAGGGAGGGCTTCTTGAGGAGGGGCCGCACCACCGCCTCTTTCAAGGCGGTGGGTAGGGATCCCTCACCCAAAGAGGCATTGACAACTCCCTGGAGCCACCCCCGCGTACCCTCCCGGGTGGCCATAACCAGCCAGGAGGGACACGGGTCCAACAAACAAGTGGTGGCATTCAGTCGCCCCAGCACTCTGTCCATGTCTTCTGGAGTCACGGGGTCAAACTCAACCCATAGATTGGAATCAAGGCCCGCCTCCGTCATCGCGCCCAGACCAGCCCATTCGGAGGTCAGCCCTTCCTGAATCCGAGCGATTTTATCTTGCAGGAAACTCGCAAACTCCTCTGCCCGCCCTTGCAAGGGGGCCCCTTGTGCCCCCTGATGTAGGAGGGAGCGGGACACCCAAAAAAGGGCGGCAGGGCGGTTTCCCGCAGACGCGATGAGGGCAGAAAAGTAGTTACGCTTCACTGCCCTCAACGCCACTAGGTAAGTCCTTAAATGTGACCTTACCCGTGTCCGGTCGGTCTCGGAGCGGGTAGTCCTCCAAACACCCTCTAGGCAGGTTGCAATGGAATACAGGGTGAACTTGTCTCAATTTTTTGGGAGCTCCAATTCTACTGTTACTGGGTTGATTATGCATTTTATGGTGAATGGTCCTACGAATTTTGGCCCTAGCTTTTTTGAGGGCTGCAGAGATTTTAGAAACTCGGTTGACAGATATACCCTTTCCCCCACTTTGAATGGTTTTGGTTCCATTTGTTTTTTGTCTGCCTGTGCTCTCTCGCCTCGTCCAAAGCTTTTCTAACTACCAGCTATGTGTTTTGTAGTTGCTTGATCCATTACTTCAAGGCAGAGATCATGGGCTCGTTGCTTGGTAGCTCAGGCATTGGGTTGAAGCTTTGGCCTGTTGCCACTTGGAATGGGATGTAACCGGTGCTTGAGTGCGCTGTGTTGTTATAAGCCACCTCCGCGAAGGGCAGTAGCTCAGTACAATTATCTTGTTGGTTGTTTATGAAGCACCTCAGGTATTGTTCTAGTAGTATTGAGTTTGAACGTTCTGTCCCACCATTCATTTGTGGATGATGACTAAATGACAGGCCCTGATTGGTATCAAGTAGACCCAAAAAGGCTCTCCAGAACTCCAAAGTGAATTGGACCCCCCTGTCTGAAATTATTTATTGTGGAACCCCATGCAGCCTGTAAATATGCTGCACGAATAACTTGGCCAAGGTCTTGGTGGTGGGAATTTTCTGGCAGAGAATGAAATGGACTTGTTTGGAGAATAGGTCCATCACTACCCAAATGACAGTGTTTCCTGCACTTTCTGGAAGCTCTATTATAAAATCCATAGAAATCTCTCTCCAGGGTGCTGAAAGGCTAGCAATCGCTTGCAATAGTCCCGGGGTTTTTCCCTGTCTCTGCTTTGCTGCCACACAGAAAGGGCAGCTGGCCACATAACTCTCAATGTCCTTCTTTATAGAGGGCCACCAGAACTGCCTCTTGGTCAAGTGGGGAGTTTTCATGAACCCAAAGTGCCCAGTCACCTTTGAGTCATGGCAAAGCTGCATGAATTTTACTCTCTGGGTTTTTGGCATGTAAAGTTTTTCTCCCACCCAAGGCAATTTGTCTTTTATTGAACAGAGGTTTTTGTGACTGAGGAACCACTTGTCCTTTTCTAATGCCTCTCTAAACTCAACCCCTGCACTACTGTCTAGGGAGGGCTTCTCCCTTGTGTGAGTCTTTGCAGTGGTCGGGGCCTCCAGTTTTCTGACTGATGACGTCGGCTTCTTCGCCTGTGCTCTTGTGGTGACTTGGGCTGCTAATTGCTGTGGGGTCATCAAAGGTTTAACCACGTTGGTCTTTATGCTATTGTACTGTGGCATCCTTGATAATGCATCGGCCAAAAAGTTCTTCTCCCCTGGAATGTACTTAATAGAGAAATCAAATCAGTGGAAATGTTGGGACCACCAATCTTATTTTGGGGATAACTTCCTGGGTGTCTTTAGTGCCTCAAGATTTTTATGGTCAGTCAACACCTGGAAGGGGATTTTGCTCCCTTCCAGGAAATGCCTCAAAGTGAAAAGGGCCCAGCGCACTGTGTATGCCTCTTTCTCCCACACTGCCCACCTCTGTTCAGTCTCAGTAAGCTTTTTGGAGATGTATGCGCAGGGTTGCAGTTTTCCCTCTTGATTTTCTTGGAGCAGCATCGCCCCCACTGCCACATAACTAGCGTCAGCCTTAATAACGAACGGCTTCTCCAGGTCCGAGTCTTAAGTACCGGCTCGGCAGAGAAAAGCCTCTTTAATTTCTCAAAAGCCACTTGGCACTCCATAATCCATTTTAGTGGTTGACTGGGGTTTGGCTTGTTCTCCCCCTTTGTTTTCAGCAGATTAGTAATGGGGAGGGCAATCTGGGCAAAAGAGGGAATGAATTGCCTGTTGAAGTTTGCGAATCTGAGGAAACGCTGTGACTGCTTCCTCATGCGTGGCGGCTCCCACTCTAACACCACCCGCACTTTTCCTGGGTCCATCTCTATCCCCTGATGGGAGATCCGATAACCGAAATAGTCAATTTTCTCCTTGTGGAATTCACATTTGGAGAGTTTGGCATAGAGGCGGGCCGTGCGAAGCTTGTTTAGGACCACTCTGACCAGTCTGATATGCTCCTCCTTCATCTCCGTAAATATTAGGATATGGTCCAAATACACCAAAACCCCCTTATATAGGTGCTCATGGAGGGCCTCGTTTATCAACTGCATGAACACTGTAAGCACTCCTTGCAGCCCGAAGGGAAGCACTTGGAACTGGAAGCACCCTAAGGGGCAATTAAAAGCCATTTCCCACTCATCTCCCTCTTTAATCCTAACTCAATAATATGTTTCCCTTAAGTCCAATTTGGAGAATATCTTCCCCTTAGTAAGATGGGCTAACATGTCCTTCATTAGTGGCAATGGGTAGACATTGTTCTCGCATACAGCATTCAGAGACCTATTGTTGTGGCTCCGTCTTGTGAGCCCCTCTTATCGGAGGAAGAAGGCTCCGAACATGAAGGAGAGGAGATGGCTAGGCCTCCCTCTCCAGGACCCTCCTCTTTGGCAATGCCTCAGGTGTCTTCCGACGGTGAAGAGATTGACCAGGAGCCAGGTGGTTCTGAGATTGGCCAGGAGCCCGGTGTTTCTCAGATTGGCCAGGAGCCAGGTGTGTCGGATAATGAGGAAGAAAAGTTGTGGCTGGATCCACGCCAGCATAGGAGCGACAAGTGTGCGCAGTGGAAAAAGAGACGTGCCAGAGATTAAGCTGAGTCACTGGACCACACCCCACAGGCTATAAAAGGGTGGTGGTGGCCATTTGGACCTCTGTGACGGACAAAAGCTGAATCTCTGGCGCAGTAGTTTGCTGTGGTTTTAAACTGTGTGTATTGTTTTTGTTTCTGTGTGTTTGGAGTAAAAGGTCTTGGCAGGCAGCTACGGAGCTGCTGCCAAGTTTCTTATCTGTGAAGTGGTGTCTGGAGAAGTCTTTAAACCCTCGGCTGGCTGTTTGGGTGTGTGGGTCGGAACGGGGACAGAACATCTATAATCCACACATAGGCGAAGAGACCCATCTTTTTTTTTTCAGAAAAGCACAGGGACGGCCATCTTCTGTCACGCAGGTTGAATAAACCCCTGCTCCAAGTTCTTTTCAATGAACTTCTGCAGCTCTTCCAGCTCTCTAGGAGTTATTGAATAGAGCTTGGGCTTAGGCAGCTTAGCTCCTGGAAGGATTTTGATAGCACAGTCACTGGGTCAGTAAGGGTGTAGTTCATCGGACCTCTGTTCACTGAAAACATCAGCCAGGTCTTGGTATTCCTTAGGTATGCCTTCTAACGCCCTGTCACTAGCAGTTGCCACCACCTCAGACCTTTTCCTCCCTTTGGACTTTGGTCTCTGGCCCTGAATGTCTCCACTAGCATGCCAATGGCTTGCTTAAAGAAGCAGTTGGAGCGTGTTAGCCCTCTTCCTCATTTATGTTAAGGGATCTCTCCATCTCGCGCTTCCACCTGGGTTGGTGGCTCCTGTGCTTGAGGGTTACTTTTGTGACTTTCGTGTCCCAGTCCTTCTTTCCTACTCCAACCATCTCGATTTCTCACAGGTGTTGGCTTTGTCGGATGAGCTGGTGGAGTCTGAACTGCTGCTGCTCGGGCAAGCCTTCAGGAGGGCTTCCTCCAGCCGCTCACTTTCACTTTTTTTGCCGTCGTGATTTGACATTGTCTTGCACAGTCCCCGCGGTAGGAATTGTCCTCTGGGTTGACCACTTCGTAAGATCCTACCTAATGTAAGGACCTGCCTCCGTTGCCCCTACCAAGAAAGCAGAACTCTAGAAACTTGCATCATTTCAACAGGAACTTTTATTGGCAGGTACAGACAACCGGAAGTCTAGACAGGTTCTGAGGGCTTTCCCGCCCGAATCAATAGGTAAAACCACGCAATAGAAACCCCACCCCAACTGTCCATCCAGATGGTTCAAACAGGCCAACCTACAGGTGACACCATACTGTGGGAAATGAGCTGATAAGGCGCCAGGGTTGTTAGGTTTTTGCCGTTTCCTCCCCTCCGCATTGAGATAAGGCAGGTGGCCCGAGGCATTCCATTCACACCCCGAAGAGAATACATCAAAGCAGATAGAGGAATCTTCCTACATGTGATGCATGTTCCCCCTCTCCCCCCTTAGGAGAATGGCAGGACCCGAACAGCTTAAACAGAGGAATTAAAGAGAATTAAAAAAATTAGGGTTCTGACATACACTTTGAGAACAAGCAACTAAATTTCATTTTTAATGTATGCCATTGTGCCCACAGTAAAAAATGACAATAAAGGTTATGTATCTATCTATCCATTAAATGTAATGACTCTTATATTTAAATCTCCTATGTTTAATTAATGAAATGTATTGTACATATATTTTACATATATTTTTCATTTTAGATATGCATCTCTTAGTTTTAAAACAGCCTGCGATGCGAAGCTGGCTGTGAAAGAAATGAATGGGAGAGAAATAAAAGGAAAAGCAATGAAAGTTCAACTTAAAAGGACAATTAAGGAAAAAGGAATCCAAGACAATCAAAACTGTATGAAACAAAAGTGGGAAAATCAAAGGCCACTTTCTAAACATAGAAACAAATATCAGAAAAACTCTGATCTGATTTTGGAAGTTCCTGCTGTAATCTCAGCTACATTCATACTGCCTCCAGATGATCCTTTCTCTTTAAAAATGTCTGATGTCTCCAAAGATGATTTGAAGTCACCGTTGCCTGCTTTGCCATTGGCAAATGTTTTCAGACCTGCCTCAGGTTCTTCAGAAGTGCTCCTTTGTGTTTCAGGCTCTTCCAAAGTATTCAATTCTGACAGTTTATTTTCTAAATCTTTACCAAAAGAATCATCCTTTGAAGTAGATCAAGAGGTAACTTTTGTGAGATTGCATATCAGAACATAAAGACATATCTGTCTATCTATTGCAAGGTTTAATATAGATAAGCTTGCTTAACTGGTAAGTGCAGGTCTTTTCAGATCATCATTTCTCTTAATGCATTAAACAATGATTAAATGGCTTCAACAACAAATTTTATTAACATTTCAGTTAATCAACATCTATATACAGTATAACTAAACTCTTGTGTCTGTCTGCTGGTAATCTTCAATTGGACTAAACAGTGCATTGTAGGGCAACAATTTTTGAACCAAGGTATCTCAAATGGGTTAACTTACAGAATGTGTCAAAATCCATTAATCCCATGGGATTTAAATTTGGTAAAGTTGTGGCTACTTCAGTGATGCCATGTTCAGTCTTGCTCACGTGATCATCATTTTCAACACTCCCTGACAGCTTTCCACAAGTCAGTGGGGAAGCCGGCAGGAAGTCTAAACTTGATTGGGATTGCCATTGTTCTCTGCCATCTTCCCACAAGCAAAGTCAGTGAGGAAGCCAGCAGGACGTTGCAAGTACAAGGCCAACAGATAGGTAAATAGCTGCCGCCAGGTGGGGGAGGAAACAGAGGGGTTCCTAAGAGGTGCAGCAAGGGTTAGGATGTGGGATGTGTGAGAGCCACAGGAGGGAATATAAGGGTGCAGTGTAGATCAGGGAGGGTGTATGGGGGCATGGTGTAGATCTGGCAAGTGTTTTGTACGTCAACGAGGGTGCGTGCGGGTCTACAAGTGGCCATAGAGGGAGTAGGGGAGGAAACTTACCCAAGCAACTTGCAACCTTCCTTGTTGGCTTCCCAATTCACTTTTTTTTATTTGCAAGCTTCCGACAAGCATAGTCCGTGGAGAAGCCACCAGCAAGTTGGAAATCACTTCTACTCCAAGTGCTTTTTTGCTTACCCATGGTCATTCTGTGACACAACTGAAATGATAGCCCAATGGGTCATTGATTATCTAGTTTATATTAAAGTTGTTATCAGAGATCCAGTAATAAAACAATATTGTTAATTTTAACTGCATTTGATACTGATTCTACTGTAACAATTGCTATGGTTATATCTATTTGATTGGAATTTGAAAGGGAACATTTTGATAATTCTTCCTTCAGCTAATTCAACTAACCTATTAAAACTGCCATATCTGTAAAGCATGTGAAAAATTACTTTCATCAGTTTGGTTGTATTGAATACATAACAGAAGTTCTTATTTCTGAAAACTGCAGTTATGTTCTTTCTAATGTTACAGCATTGTTTAAATCTTAGTTTCCATAATGAGAGCATTAACATTGTAATCTTGAGTGCAATTAACAGTTTTTGTTTATTTTATATCTAGGATATTGCAGACAGCCTCTTGCCATTTAGCTCAGTACAGTATACTCCAAATCCATCATCTACTTTTATACCTCCAAATACATTAAACTTAAGGAGTTTCCGCAAAGTAGTAAAGAAACTGGAAGAGTTATATCCAGAGATTACTAGGTGAGTGTGTTATTCAGAGGTGATATTTGTAGGAATATATTTATCAAGCTGATCTTGGAAGTTCTCATTTATTTTATTTTAGAGACAACATTTTGGATGCTTTGGTAGAGATAAAAGAAAACAAGGGTCAGCTTAGCGGTTTGCCCTTAAGCACAATTGTTCAAATGACTTCATCTCTCCTGAATAAGAAATTTGTATCAAAATCAGAAAAAAGTAATCTGAGAAATAAACAAGTGAGTACTTTGAAAATGCATTGAAATGTATGTTTAGAAATCTCTGATTGTAATGAATTTCTATCCCTACTACATTTTACATTTGCTTAATACTAAATATTTTGGAAGTAAATGCCCAATTAATTCAAGGGTTTTTTACTACTGTGATAATTCTTAGCATCAGGGTATTAAAACTATAGTTTTTCTATATGCTGCTGTTTTTATGGAATTTTTAATTAAAAGCCAAAGATCTTGAAATTCAAAAGTGTGAAATTCTTACTAAGTAGCCACCATGCTATAGGAAAGTGGGAAGAAAAGGAATAGGAAAAATCAAGCGAGGAAACTATTTCAGACAACAGTAGATGTGAAAAGATGTGGGGGTCTTGGTGGATCAAAAACTGAACATGACCCAACTAGGTGGTATAGCTGTGGGGGAAAAAATCAATCCTAGTCTGCATCAGGATCAAGACATGTCATTTAGACAATTACATCTAGTTCTGGAATATGTATTCTTTAGTTAAAATAAATGGAGAAAACTAATCAAATATTGTTATTAGTATCTACTAGGATTGATGGGAAACTTTAATTGGTCACGACGTTCCAGAGAGGCACTCAATCAGGCACGGTCTTCCTAAGAGATGTTTCATTTGTAGTGCTGACAATTTTCTCCTTCAAATGGTGGAGAAAGGTATCAGCAATGTATTTGCTATTACTGATAGTGAAGACTTAGTCACTTAAGTTACTTAAGAAATTGGGCAATGTATACCTTAAATATAGCAGGGTAAGAGGAATGTTGGGAAAAGTGACTATGTAATGTTGGAATACCTAAACAAGGAATCTAAAGCTATGTAAAAAGCTCAGAAAAGTTCTAAATACAATAAAAGAATATAATATAAGAGATGGAAAGATAAATAGTTCACAAAGGTAGAATACAAGTAGTCCTCGACTGACAATAGTTTATTTAGTGACTGTTCAAAGTTACAGTGGCACTGAGAAAAGTGACTTATGACAGTTTTTCACACAACCGTTGTAGCATCCCCATGGTCACGTGATCAAAATTCAGATGCTTGGCAACTGACTCATATTTATGACAATTGCAGTGTCCCAGTGTCATGTGATCACCTTTGTGACCTTGTGACAAGAAAAGTCAATGGGGAAGCCAGATTCACTTAATAACCATGTTACTGAATAACAACTGCACTGATTCACTTAATTATCATTCTTATTACTGTGATAATTAGCAACAGAAATTTTGTGCTCAATCGTGGTTGTAAGTTGCTTCCTATGATCTGGATTTTGTGCACCACAAAATGATGATGTTGGCAATGGTGATAAGAATGCACCTCAAGAAAGCATTTGTATGATACAAGTAGTCCTCAATGTGCAACCATTTGGTCAGTGACCATTCAAAATTGCGACAGCATTTAATAAAAGGAATTATGGCCTGTGCCAAATTATAGTTGTTGCAGTACCCCCATAGTTATGTGATCAAAATTCAGATGCTTGGCAGCCCGTCCACCCTACAGGGATGCTGCAACTTCCTCCATCCACCTATTTCTCACAACTCAGCTGGCCACCAGGCCTATCAGTATCTGCAAATTGCACAGTTTGGAGGCTTCTGAAGGATTGTGAGATTAGGCTGATTCTTGCAGTGCTTTGGAAGACTTCTTCAAATCATATGATTTGGAGAAGGCGGCTTCCAAATGATCATGAGAATGGAGCCTACTTGGAGAATGATGCAAAACAGCCTCCATTAAGAAGACTGGTTGCTCCTGTCAGCAACTGAAGAAAAACAGTGAAGGTAAGTAGGGTCTTTGTACACATTTGTGAAAGAAAAACTAGTTAACAAGTTAAACAACAGCAAAGTTAAATTTCAAAGCACTCTGTTAACAGTCTGTTATTGTAATTTACTCATAGAAAATCTACACAGTTTCCTATTTACCACAAATCACCACAATCATTATCTCTGAGTCCAGGGTCAAATAGTGAAACCTTTCCTTTGGTTTTAAATTGGGAACTTTACCAACAATTGTATGTCATTTCCAAAGTTCATAAGTCTCTGTTGTAAATATCTCTGCCACATCTATTGTTGAATACTTATCCTTGACAACACCCCATTCCTCTTGCCAAGAAAGTCCAGTCCATCTTTCGTCATATCCATTATCTTGAAATTTGTTATATTCATATCCTTTCAGTCTTTTTTGGCAAACCAAACCCTTTCTTCACATCTGACTGCAACAGATCAAATTCCGATTCCTCAAATTGCAAATCAGGTCCAACTGTTATTTCCTCCTTTTGGATATCATCTTGGGTTTGCTAAACTGTTATTGACCCATCAAATTTTTTGTTTATGTTTTCAAATAAAACCCATCAAAAATTAAGAGATAAATATCAAGGTTCTTTTAAAAAAAAAGCTAGAAAGAGCAATATTTATAGTATAATCCTATGTAAATGTAAATACACTCCTTATGGTTAAATAGTAATAATTTTGTATTTAATAGTAAACAAGGAGCAGAAAAAAGTTGTAAAAATCCAGCAAGGGGTTATAAAATAGGTCAAAAGTCAACTAGTTATAAATCAAGAAATTGTAAAGTTCCAAAAAGTGCAGTTAAAGGTATGCTTAAGAAAGGTGAGCAACTGATGGGAAATTGTGTTGAGACCAGACCTTCCGATTGCTCCTTACTAAGAATTGCAGGTGTCCAGCTTCCTTTTCCATCTATCACGATTGTCCAAACGTTATCTTGGGGCCTTCCTAGTCTCCCCTTCAAAAAACTGGAAACAAAGCCAACAAATAAGCAGTAATCATCTTAGCACAAGTTGAATCAGTTGTTATATGCCTATGGGTTTATATACCTATCCTGTTAAGCTGGACTGATTCTAGATTACAATTATCTTCATACTCCCCTGTAAATCAGTGTTACTCTTGACACTTGGCCGAATTCACAAGAAGCAGAGAATTCTCTGACATTATAAACATGGAGTGAGATTGGATTTACTGGTCTATTTTTTACTAATATCCAGATGACAAAAGGTTGTAATCTGTAAGCTCAATGACCAACTTGGCTTTAGGTTAACTCCTAATTTGTTTTGTCAAGATGCAGTCTTTCTGGGACTTCCGGTGGCTCGGCGACGGCCGATGGAGGCTTTTTGACAGCCTCCCGTCCGGGGCTGCGTTAAAGCTGCCGAAACAGCATCTATCAGCTGTTTGGCGGCTTGAGCTTTCTCTCTGGGAGAAGGAGAGAAGGTGAGCTTCACTCTGAGTAGGAGTAGAGTTCCCTAGTCTCCCTAGGAGCTTCCAGGGAGACGTAGGTGAGAACTCCTCCGGAGCTCAGAGCTTTTTCCGCAGACCGGGATGTCTTCGTTTTCGCAGCGAAGCCAGACGTTGTCTCCACCTCTGAAACTTTGAAAAATTTTTAACTGTCAGTAAATCATCAGACAGAGCTGACCAGGAACTTGGACTTGTTTGGAAAAGAAAATGACTTTAACTCAGAAAGAACAAGGCTTCTTCTCAATTGTTGCAATTTAAAGTTAACTTTGGGGAAAAAAATGGCTGCAGGCGAGCCGCTTCTTTGTTTCAAAGGGAAACTTTCACTTCTCTTCCGGTTGTGGATTGCTACATTGTAACGACTGTAAAGATTTTGGAAAAAAGAAAAAGAAAAAAATCAAGAAAAATTTGTTTAAATACTTATTGTTCTGGACTGACTATTAAGACTTTTTTAAAATTAAGAATGGCTTCTAAACGTACTGGAACTTCTGCTGTACCTAAAGCAGCTACTCCTTCTCCAGCTGTACAATCTACACAGCAGAAAGCTAAAACTCCCCCACCCTCCCCTCCTCCTTACATTACTCTTAAAGATTTACAGGACTCTCTGTTACAAATCTCTAAACAGATAGTACAACAGATGAGAGCTGAAACAGAAGAACTTCTTGGTAAGAAAAATGATGAATTGTGTGAAAACATGTCCCAAATTTTTCAAGGTTTTGCCTTTCATGTGGATCGTATAGAGGGACATGTGGATGAAGTGGTGGAGAAAATGGAGGGTATGGAGGAGAGATTAGAGAAAATAGAAGAAGGTGTGGAGATTGTTCAAAATGATATTGTAATGTCACAATATAGAGAAATGGAACATGCCATAAGAATTAGAGGCCTTAAGGAGAATTTACAAGAGAAATTGAGGGAGGAGGTAGCAGCTGCTTTAGCCCTGGTTTTTGACTCCAATCCTGAAATTATATATGGAGAAATCGAAAAAGCATATAGAGTAAATTCATGGGTGGCTCGTCAGAGAAATTTGCCTAGCGATGTGGTTGTTTACTTCTCCAGAAAAACACGTCGAAATGATATCATACAAGCTTTTTATCAACAGATTTTTAAGAAAAAGATAAAATTTACACCGCAATTATTTTTATTGGGCATTATGGATAATCTGGACTCAAAAGAAATGAATTTGATGTTGTACTGTATAACAGCAGCAAGGACCTTGATTGCTCAAAATTGGAAAAAGGAGACACTACCGAATATGGATGATTGGAGACAGAAAGTTTCATATTTTGCAGAAATGGCAAAAATATCCGCATACCTGAAGGATCAATATCAAGAGAAATTTATTTTGGTATGGAGAAGATGGCTAGATTATATTCAGAGAAAATATGAAATGAACAATTATCATATAGCTTTTGATTAATTATTGTTACTTATAAATATTTTTATATATAATTTATATATATAGTTCTTAGTTAAGGTGATTGTATGTTAGAGTTAAAGTAAATTTATACTTGTTTATATTATGAATGGGTTGTTTGGGTTAAATTTGGATTACTATATGCTTAATCCTGTATTCAGCTCTGGGAAGTCAGGGAGGGGGAGGAGGAAAGGGGATTAGGGGATTGAAATTATAAAAATTGATGTATTTATATGTTATAGGTAAATAATAACTGTATTGAAAAGAGGAGATGCTCGGCTGGTACCCCAAACTGCGCTCGATGAGGCGGTTAAGAAGGGAGATGGGATGTAGGTAGGTGGAAAGGAGGAAGGAGGAGAGGTTGTGGGTTTAGAGGGAGGAAGGACAGGAAAGTGAATGAGGGTGGAGGCAAGGCGGGGACTACCGAGCGTTTCCGAAAATGTTTTGATTTGGATTATCTTTTTTTTGCTTGTGTATGTAAATGCATCATAGTAGTATTTGTTGTTTAATTACAAAAATCAATAAAAAAATTTATTATAAAAAAAAAAGATGCAGTCTTTCTGTATTTGTAGTTCTATATTCACTAAAGTATTTAATAATTTTTGCAAATTTAATAAAATAGATATAAAAATTGTATTAATGTTTTAAAAGCAAACTATGATATTTAAAATATTATTTCCCAGTAAACAATTATTCAATTTCCTGCAGACACTTGTGGATTTCCTGATACATCGTTACAGTTTACAATCATTTTACTTTATCTGTAATGAAGCCACATTTGCAGAATTGAAACAATCACTTGAAGAATATTGAAAACTGTGAGCTTTCTACAGCATTTGAATTTAAATAAGAATAAAACATTAATTTAGGGAAGACCATGAGTTGATAAAAAATACTTCTGTTTTCACTGTTTATATTGTAGTTTATAAGAACTAGGAATTGTAAGAAATGACCTAATGTTTAATCCTTGCTTCAAACTCAAAATCCATTTTTTTTATCATATGTTGTTAACTACTGTAAATATTAAAAATAAATGAATCTTGTGTGGTTAAAATGTTTAATTGCAATCTAAATAGTTCTATTGTAGTATGATTTATTAATTGAATTAATTCATTTCTTACTGAATTGATGAATCCCATTTCTTTAAAAAATGTATTCATATGAAATAAAGATTTTCAACAAATATATGATTTTTTCCCTAACTCATTGAATAAAACCAGTCAAAATGTAGCACATTTAAACATGTGTTTCATAGAAGAAGTATTCAATGTATTTTAGATTTTAAGTTCACAAGTTTAAAAATTCATTTTGACAAGATCATTTCCAGCTGCTGTTTTTAAGATAGATCTGTAATAGGGCCTTATTCAACTGGGATCTCATTGTCAATAAGAGCCAAGGTAGCATGTATTACTGAGATCTGGCTCGGTCCAAAAAGGGTGTGTGCGTGGTCATTTCAGAGATAAGCCCAGCTGATTTCCAGATATGCATTACCAGAGACCGCATGGCAGGATGATGGTGTAGCAGTTGCTATCTAGGAATCTCTTATGGCTTTCAGGTGTGTTGCTCTACAGATCACTGGATAGGAAACTTTGTTCATTAAGTTGGACTTTAGGGAGCAGTTTGGGTTGGTGATGTTTTACCAGCCTCCCTGCTGCACGGTAACCTCCTTGCCTAAGCTTCTTAAATCCATTTTTGGTTGATGGTAGAGTTTCCTAGACTTGTGGTCTTGGGGGATCTCAAGCTATCTACTCTAGGAATGAAGCTGAGGAGAGTTCATGGCCACAGGTCTATCACAGATCATCCAGAGCCCAACACCAGACAGTGATTCTACTCCTAATTGGGTGTTCTTATCGAGCAATGGATATGTGAATTGAAATTGGAGGAATTCTCAGTATCTCATCATGGACAGATTACCATGAAATTATCTAGCACTCTGATTACCTGATTACCATGAAATTATCTAGCACTCTGTCCATTGTGGGTAGACCAATTAAATTGGTCCACCACTGGTGACTGATGGACCCAAATGGGTTTCAGAGGGAGCTGGGATCTGTTCCTGATGGTCTGCTGCATAGTCCATCTGAAGCCCTGGTTGCTGCTTGAAATAGGGTGTCAGCCAAAGTTTTGGAGTGGATCATGCTCATGCAACCTCTCCCCTCTTGTGGGTCCTGTTGCATCCCATGGTTCATGGAGGAGTTGGAGTTGAAAAAAGAGAAGAGACATCCAGAGAACTGTGAGTGAAGGACAAACTCGACTAAATATGGATTAAAACCACTATTAAGCCCTACCTTATGGCAATTAGAGCAGTGAAGAGTCCACTGCTTTATTCTTATGACCATGGATTCCCATCCTGCGGCCCTCTTTTGAAGAATTTGCTCAGTATCTTTTTTTAAAAAAATTATTTTTCCTTTTTCACTTTACAAAAAACAAAATACAAAATACATTTTTTCCTTAACAGTACTGTGTCCTATATCTCTTACATATATTTACGATTATTTACATTACTTCTCGTACTTTTTTATTCCTCAGTTCTAACCAATTGTAACATTTGTCCCATATCTCATAAAATTCTGTTGCTTCCTTGTCTTTTATTTCTAGAGTAAGTTTGTACATCTCAGCGCATTCTAATATCTTGTAAATAATCATGTCATTTGTTGGTATATTTTCACATTTCCAACATTGCGCATATGCAATGTGTGCCGCTGTTATTATGTGTACAATGATGTATTGAAGTTGTTTTTTCATCTTTGGATTAATTATACCTAATAAGAATAATTCGGGTTTGAGTTCAATTCGTTCTTTTGTTATTTCCTGTATCCATCTTCTTATCTGCTCCCAATAAATCTTTGCTTTGGGGCATTGCCACCACATGTGATAAAATGTTATCTCTTTGTTTTTGCACTTCCAACAGTCTGAATTCATGTTTTTGTATATCTTAGCCAATCTCGCCGGTGTTAAATGCCATCTATAGAACATTTTATATTGGTTTTCTTTATATGCAGTTGACAGTGTTAATTTGCAATTTTTGTTCCATACTCTTTCCCATTCTTCTAATTCTATATTTCAGCCTATATTTCGTGCCCATGCTATCATTGGACCTTTTACTATTTCTTCTTCCAATTCTACCTCTAGTAAATGTTTATAGGTTTTTGTTAAAAAAATTTCTTCCTTGCCTGTCAATATTTTGTCCAATTGCTGTGGTACCCGATTTATTCCATATTCTTCCATATCTTTGCTATATTTTGATTGTATCTGTAAGTATGGCCACCAATCAATAATAATTCCCTGTTCTTTTAATTCCTCCCTTGATCTAAGATTTCCTTGATTATCTAATAATTCTTTGTATCTTGTCATCTTTTTTTTGTCCAGTGTGTTTGGATCATTGCCTCCATTGGTGAGGCCCAATTTGGTATTTTCGTATAATATTTCTTTTTAACCTTTTTCCATATCCAAATCAGCGCATCTCTTATCTGGTGCCGGTAAAAGTATGTGTGTGACTTCTTGTATTTTCCCCATAGAAAGGCATGCCAACCAACCTGTAAATCATGTCCTTCGATCGTTAAAACCCTTTTATTATCTAAATTTATCCAATCCCTAATCCAAAGTAACCCCACTGCTTGGGTAATAAGTTTCCCATTTTGGAAGCCCAAGGTCACCTCTACTTCTACTATCCTGTAATGCTTTAACATTTATTCTTGCTTTTTTACCTAACCATATGAATTTATTGATCATTTTGTTTAATTCCTCAAAAACATTTTTTTTCTAATTTTATTGGGACTGTCTGAAATAAATATAATAATTTTGGTAGAATATTCATTTTGATCACAGAAATCCTTCCTAACAATGATAGTTATAATTTTCCCCAAATCTCTAGGTCTTTTTTCATTTGTAATATCAATTTTTATAGTTATTTTCTTTTATTGAAGAATATCTTATAGTAAGCCAAATTCCTAAATATTTAATAGTTTTTACAATTTGCAATCCCAAATTTTCTTCTAATTTTCTTTTTTGTTTTTCAGTTAAATTTTTACTAACATTTTAGTCTTTTCTTTATTAATTTTTAATCCTGCCACTTTCCCATATTTTTCTAATTCATTAGGATATTTCCTCTCTCAAGTGGTTCCTCTTAAAAAAACACCAAATCGTCTGCAAATGCCTGTGTCTTATATTCTTCTGTTTTAACCTTTAATCCGTTTATCTATTGATTCTAATTTGGGTTAGTAGCACTTCTAACATTAAAATAAAAAGTAGAGGTGACATTGGGCATCCTTGTCTTACTCCTTTATTTATTTCAAATTTCTCTGTGTTGTCCCCATTAATTATCACTCTAGCCTTTTGTATCTTGTATATTGCCCTTATCATTTTCTCGAACTTCCCTCCGAATTTCATATCTTTTATCTGTTGGAACATAAACTGCCAATTAAGGTTGTCAAATGCTTTCTGGGCATTTAAAAATATTAATGCTACCTGTTTTTCTGAGTGTACTTCATAGTACACTCAACCATTTTGATCCGAATGTATTATTTGATTTAATATTGATTTCAATCGTTCCGCAATTATAGTTGTAAAAATTTTATAATCTGAATTCAGCAACGAGATTGGCCTATACCTTTTTATCTGTTTGGGGTCGGTACCTTCTTTTGGAATAAGAGTTATATTTGCTTCTATCCAGGAGTCTGGTAATTTGGCTTTCTCCAACAGATCATTGTATACATCTAATAATGTCATTTCCAAATCTTCATAGAGAGTCTTATACACCTCCCCTGGTAGACCATCTGGCCCCGGGGCTTTATTATTTTTTTGTTTTTGCACTGCGTTTCTTAATTCCATAGCTGTTGTTTCCTTATTCAATATTTCTCTCTGTCCTTCTTTTAATTCCGGCAGACCATTAACCTTTAAATATTGTTTTATATTCTCCTCCTCTATTTCCTCTTTTTTGTATAGTAACTCAAAATAGTTCTGAATTATTTTTTACTTTTTATCCATTTTGTAATTGCAACTCTCCATTTTTGTCTTGTAGTTCCTGAATAAATCTTTTTTCCTTCTCTTTTTTTAATTTATAAGTGAGCCACCTCCCAGGCTTGTTTGCATGTTCGAAAATTTTTTGTTTAGCTACTTTCAATTCTCTTGCCATTTCTTCTTGTTCTACCATATTCAATTTACGTTTAGCCAAAACCATTTCCGCTTTAATCATTTCTTCCTGGGGCTCCCTTTGTAATTTAGATTCTAATTTTTTAATTTCTTCCTGAAGTATGTTTTGTGTTTGCCTTTTCACCTTATTCTTTCTAGCTGTATAAGCTATCGCTATGCCTCTCAAATATGCTTTAGCAGTATCCCATATAATTTGTAGTGATGTTTGTTGTTTTGTGTTTTCTTTAAAGAATAATTCCATTTCTTTTCTAATCCTTACAATAAATTCTTTTTCTTTTAAAATTTGAGTGTTTAGTGTCCACCTTCTCCTTACTTTTTTCTGACTTGTCCAAACTATTTTCAGAGGGTTATGGTCAGCCCATGAATTTGGCATTATTTTTATTGTTTCCAAATCTTGTCCTACCTCCCCATTCATCCATGCCATATCCAACCGAGACCACGATTTATGTGGATTCGAGAAAAAAGTGTATTCCTTTTTTATGGGATTCCATTTCCTCCATTGATCAGATAAATTGAATTCATGTGCCATCTCAAAAAATGTCCTTGGTAATATTTTGTAAGACACTAAGACAAAGACGCAGGCATGTCTTGAGCAGAGGTTTGAAGCTGCAGGACACAGCTTGACAAACTCTGAGTTTATTGCTTCTTATATACTTGTTACATACACCAGCTTAACCATTAGATGCTGACAAAGGTTTCTTCATTGGAAAATGTCTTCATGTAAGCAACTATTTTCTAGTAACATATTACATGGTCAAAGACCAGGTAAAGAGCAA